CCTTTTTTAAAAAATGTATTTATTAACATGCCTTACTTACTTATTTATTTATTGAAAGAATTAATTTTGAAGTTTTTTTCTTTAAAAATTTTGAATATTTTCATTCATTTTATTAAATAAACTTGTTTCCTCAAAAAGTTAAGTTTTTTGGAATTTAGAAGGGATGAAAAGTTTTTTAAAAACATTTATTTCCTCCAAATTACCATAAATTGAATATTTAAGACATTAAACAGCTCAATCTCCTCTATTTATCTATCTATCTATCTATCTACCCTATGAAAAGATTTTATACTTAGATCAAAAAATTATAAAATTTAGGCAATTAATTTTTTAATTATATTAAATGAAAATATTTAATTAGAAATTTTATTTAATAAATAATTTAAGAGTAAATTTTATTATGAAGTTTGTTAGATATAAATTATGATTTTATTACAAATATTTAATTTATTATTTTAATATAATTTAGTAAGAATAAATATAGAGGATTGTTATGATTTCATAGAAAACTATTTTTTGTTTCTTTATGCCTTGGCTGCAATCTTACCCAAATTTGGCTAGAAACTAAGCTATTAAATTATTTTTATTAAACCATTTCTCTTTCGTAGTATGTGAGATTTAGTCTTTGCTTAATGAGGCTTTTGTTGTTAAGTTTTATTGAACTAAATTCATTTTATTCAGTGAAATTAGACAGATTGTTTTTATTTATTTTATCGCTATTAAGTGAATTCATTCTTTTTAATCTTTTTTGCTGAATGAATTCATATAATTGCACTAGAATAGCTAGTATGATGTAGGCACTTTATTATAATATAATAATTTGAATGGTTATTAAAGCAGAGTAGCTTAAGATATCTATATTTTTAGAGTAATTGTTAAGATCTGGCTTTTAACATAATATATTTATAGCTAAATATTAACAATATAGGCAAAGCCACAAAAATCCATTTGTTATAAAGTAACCATTTGAGAGTTTAGATTCAAATGGCATATAAAAAAGGATAATAGCAAATTCCAGAAATTATAAGGCAATTGAAATTGTGCTGGTTATTTTCCATGTAAAACTAAATTAAATGTATAATGTTGGTATGAGAAAAGATTTCAAAAAATAGGTAA